TCTTTCAAATAATCCCACCCTCGCCTTCTCCCACAGAGTCCAAAAGTCTGTTCTTTACTTCTGTGTCTCTTTTGCTGCCTTGCAGTTAAGATCATTGTTACTGTCTTTCTAAATTCCACATATATGCGTTAATATACAGTATTGGTGTTTCTCTTTGTGACTTACTTCACTCTGTATAAAAGGCTCCAGTTTCATCCACCTCATTAGAACTGACTCAAATTTATGTTCCTTTTCATAGCTGAGTATTATTCCATTGTTTATCTGTACTACAACTTCCTTATCCATTCATCTGTGGATGGACATCTAGGTTGCGTCCATGTCCTAGCTATTGTGAACGGTGCTGCACTGAATATTGGGGTACATGTGTCTCTTTCAGTTCTGGTTTCCTTGGTGTGTATGCCCAGCAGTGGGATTGCTGGGTCATATGGCAGTTCTATTCCCAGTTTTTTAAGGAATCTTCACACTGTTCTCCATAGTGACTGTACCAGTTTGCATTCCCACTAACAGTGTAAGAGGGTTCCCTTTTCTCCACACCCTCTCCAGCACTTATTGTTTGTAGACTTTTTGATGGCAGCCATTCTGACTGGCGTGAGATGATACCTCATTGTGATTTTGATTTGCATTTCTCTAATAATGAGTGACGTCTAGCATCTTTTCATGTATTTATTAGCTATCTGTTTGTCTTCTTTGGAGAAATGTCTGTTTAGTTCTTTTGCCCACTTTTTGAGTGGGTTGTTCATTTTTCTGGTATTGAACTGCATGAGCTGCTTGTATATTTTGGAGATTAATTCTTTGTCAGTTGTTTCATTTGCTATTATTTTCTCCCATTCTGAAGGCTGCCTTTTCATCTTGCTTATTGTTTCCTTCATTGTGCAAAAGCTTTTAAGTTTAGTTAGTTCCTGTTTGTTTATTTTTGTTTCTATTTCCATTACTCTGGGAGGTGGATCATGGAGGAACTTGTTGTGATTTATGTCAGAGAGTATTTTGCCTATATTTTCCTCTAAGAGTTTTATAGTTTCTGGCCTTACATTTAGATCTTTAATCCACTTTGAGTTTATTTTTAACTTTGCCTCTTTGTTTACTGTTATATCATCAATGTGTGTGCTAAGTCTCTTCAGCCGTGTCTGACTCTTTGTGACCCTATGGACTATAGCCCACCAGCTCCTCTGTCCACGGGATTATCCAGGCAAGAATACTGGAATGGGTTGCCATGCACTCCTCCCGGGGATCTTCCTGATTTGGGGATTGAACTTGCATCTTCTACGGCTCTTGCATTGCAGGCAGATTCTTTACCACCGAGCCACCAGGGAAGCTCTATATCATCAATACTTAGTTCTTATCTCATAGGAGGAACTCAAGAAATATTTGTTGAATGAATGAATATGGGATTTTAGGAACCGGAGCAGGAGCAGGGAGAACTGTTTTTACCAAGGCAAGCCTTTAGGTATTCCTTCCATCACACCTATCTCCTTCAACCTTATGTTGAGTTTGTTTGACTCAAATAGTTCTAAAGTGGGCTGAAATGTGTTCAGTTGACAGTACTGGACCTATGAGTCTGAGAAGTTTAGCTGTAATGTGGTGTTAATAATAGCTGTTATGGTTAGGAGGCTCATAAAGGTGTACTTAGAATGCCTTCTAGCCTTAAAAGCTATGAATCTATGATTCTTGTTTTGACCAAATAATTAAAAAAAAGAAAGAAAGAAAATGTAAAGCTTTGGCAGAAGGAGCCACTCAACTTTGCAATCCAAGTGTCTTCTGATTTTTACAGTGATGGTTCCTACTATTAGGTATGATGACCATATTCTGGGCACCTTTAAATTATTGCAGAACAGTATAGGAAATGACAGAGAATATAAGCAAAGCTCAGGCTTCCCAGGTGGTGCTAGTGGTAAAGAACCTGCCAGCCAGAGCAGGACACATAAGAGACGTGGGGTCAGTCCCTGGGTTGGGGAGATCCCATGGAGGAGGGCCTGGCAGCCCACTCCAGCACTCCTGCCTGGAAAATCCCCATGGACAGAGAGGAGTCTAGCAGGCTACAGCTCATAGGGTTGCGAAGAGTGGGACATGACTGAAGCGACTTAGTATGCGTGTACAGGCAAACCACAGGCAACCACATTCCAGCAGGTCTGTAGAGGAAAATTGCTTCAGGTTGAGATTTAAAAAAAAATATGTCGAGAATGGTCCTGCCCTGAATAGAGCATTTTAAATTAAAAAAAAAAAAATCTTATGCTTTCCTTGCTTTGGTTTCGTTTTCACCCAGTGTGGAGCGTGACTTGATAGTCCTGTATTGTGTTTTAATATAGCTCATCACCGTGTTTCTTTTCCATTGCAGCAAAGTGAGTTGAAAGCTTGAAGGATTTCTCCTGCAATAATTCCCCAGATCTCATTCCTGGTCAGCACCGTGCAGCTCATTTCCATTAAGCAGATAGTCCTCCTTTTTCTTCTTTGCTCCCAGACTCATAATTCTGTGCTTATCTGCACTGAACTTCATTTGCATTTATTAGCGGGGTAGGTACTTGAAATGTCTAAAACCCTTTTATCTGCCTGCTTTGTTTCTCATTATTTGCTGTCTCTTCCAATTTAGTATTAACTGCAAACTTGAAATGTTTCTTCTGAAACTGTTGTTCAGATTCTTTGCATACCAATGTAGGGCCTGAAACTGATGTCTGCGGGGATCCCAGTCAGTAACCTGGCTCTGCTTTGAAAAATGTAGCTTCTCCCTTTTTACTTTTCTCACTTCATTGACTGAGGTATGACCTATTAATGTACATTTGTTCATGTGGTGTTTTGTTAGACATTTGAACCTTTGAGCCTCTCCACTATCGTAGATGGAGCTCTGAGGAGCAACACATGACCAGGCAGGGGCTGCCTGTCCTCATGAAGCACGCAGACTCTTCTGTGCAGAGATGTCTGTATTGTCCATACCATTTTGCCCTCTACTCAATCCCAGCAATTTTCCTGAACATCAGTTTTTTTAGGATTTGGGCCTTCATTCAATAATATAATACAAGATGACATTCTAAAACTCAGAATTATTTTTAAAAGCCATTGTTTACTCTATTTATTTTTTCCTTTACAAAGGCCCATGGGAGAAATTACTTTCAGATTTTAGCATCAGGAATAATTCTCCTGAACCACTGATTTGTTTTTAATCATACATTGTGATTGGAGAATATCTTCTACCCACCTTTCTGTGTTGTCTGCCAAGTAACTTGCAGGCACATTTGTATTTCACTCCCAGAAAATGCACTAGATGTTACTGCAGACCTTTAAATACTATTCTCACTAGGGTTTTTAGCCTGTCTCTTCTCAGCTTTCATACAATAGCCTCATAATCTCTGTCATCCACCATCTAGAATTCCTTCATTAGCTATAAGAAAACTGAAGTCTTATTCCTTTTATGTATTTTTCCAAACCATCCAAGGTCTTTCCCATAACATGACAAATTAGAAGTAAATAAATTATTTATATGAAGTTGGGGGGCTGTTTGAGGCATCGGTTTGGATCACTTCACTCTCCCAAACTGGTCTTCTGAGAGGAGCCTGAACAATACGAATAGCTGTGGGAACTTGAATAAGTCACATGCATGTGTGCACATGCTCAGTAACTCAGCTGTGTCCAACTCTCTGTGACCCCATGAACTGTAGCCTGTCAGGCTCCTCTGTCCACAAAATTTTCCAGGCAAGAATACTGGAGCAAGTTGCCATGCCCTCCTCCAGGGGATCTTCCCCACCCAGGGATTGAACCAGACTCTGGGAATGTCGTTGTAGGCAATCTATACATTATTTCTGAGCCTTTGCTGATTTTCTCTGTGAAATGGAGATAATGTTACTGTGAAAGCTTCTTTTGTGTATTCATCAAGATGCATTTATCAAGCACTTGATCTACTGTGTGGCACATAGTAAGTGCTCAGTAAATGGTGGTGGTTTAGTCGCTAAGTCATGTCCAACTCTTGTGACCCCATGGACTGTAGCCTGCCAGGCTCCTCTGTCCATGGGATTCTCCAGGCAAGAGTAGTGGAGTGGGTTGCTATTTCCTTCGTCATCGTGTGGCACATAGTAAGTGCTCAGTAAACGGTAGCTCCTGCTATTACAATGAAAAACATTTAAGCAATGGAAGAGTTTTAAGAAAGAGTAGCCATTACTTTTAAATGCTGCAGGCAATCACATTAGTAAGGGAGGTAGCATAACTTGTGGGACAGAAACACAGAGAGCAGAATCCAAGAGTTTTGGTAACTATGAAAACAGCAGGAAAAAATTTCCCTTAGTTATACATCTGCTATTAATTTTACATTACGGAGAACAAATACCTTGGTATCAGTTTTCTTCAAAATCAATCGCAATGAATTCTATGAGTTATGAATGCCAATGCAAATGAAATGAAATGTCGATCATTTATAATTACTTGAAAATAACATTGCATTGAAAAAGTGTTAAGGCAGTCTCATTATGCAGAGTATTAAAACTTGCTGTACATCTATTAATCAAGGAGAGGATTTGGCAAAGGACAAAGGAAAGTATAGTTTAGGATTTAAATTTTCCTTTGTTATGGGATTCTCTTCCGACTCCTTCATGGTATCGTTTTACAGAAGTAAGGAGGTTCAGGACCGCCCCCCCCAAATCAAAAGAGGCATTCATATTTGAGTGACCATTCTTACTCCTGATACAGTCCTTGACATTGGACACTTTGCTTTAACTCCTCATCACACGTTTTCTCATCTGTGAAAACCAAAAGATACATTTTAGATTTGTATATAAAATTTCTCAACTGGCAGATCATAGCAGCTAGTTAACAAAAATACACTGTAGGCCAAGCAAGTCATATTTGTGGACAGAATTTTGTTCCCAGACCACCGATTTGAAAATATGGTTCACACAAATTCTGAGATTTTAGTTAGAAAATTTAGAGGTTTAGAGAGCCCTCTGTGCACTTAGCCTGCAGAATGATGCCAGACTTGGCCTAGATAAAGGGGTGGCTGTTTACATCTCCCTCTGCGACAGCCATGCCTGTGCATCTGCAATGGGTGGTCGTGCAGAACTGCTCCAGCTTCTTGATCAGGACAAACAAGCAGATGTGCAGCCCCGAACCCAATAATCTGAAGGCCCGCAGCTCTTTCGGCTACGATGAGCTCATTGGCTACAAGAAGGTGGGAATGGAGCCGGCGACAGACAGCAAAGCGGCCATGGCGGTGTAGTGGAGATCCAGCCAGAGCAAACTGGCCACTTCTTGAGGTGGACCACCATCAACAAGAATGCTGGGGCCACCCTTAGCAGCATCTGGCCTCAGAACAAGTACCGCACAGGTTTGTGCAGGCCCACCATCTGCAGAGTCAGCGCTATCCAGTGAGGCTAGAAGCCTGTAATGGTGAAGTGGATACCGCTCCCCTGCCATATTCCACCCACCGTCCCCACCCGCCACAAGAGCTCCTGAACAAATTTTTATTTTCTTCCCAAAAGGAATAAAGCTGTCAGCAGACATTCCTCAACCCTCCAAAAAAAAAAAAAATGGGGTGTACTGAAGATGTTTCAGGCAAAGCTTTTTGACTCAAGAGAGCTATAACTTCCTTGGAAAGACAAGATTTACCAATGAAAAACTTAGAATACAGAGTTCTGAAAGAAGGGCTTTCCTTATATACTTCAGAGATCTGAATCTCAGAAAGACCTAGTGAGTAGCAGAGTTGGTTCTTGAACCAGTCTTTCTGAGCCCTCCCCAAGGTATATTCCATAGATGGTGGGTTTTCTGGTGATAGTGATGCTATTGGGAGTTCAGAGGGAGAGAGGGGTTTGGGACTGAGATCTTCATCAAGGACATATGGGTAGAGTACTGGAGGAAGAGAGGCTTAAGGGGAAAACATGGAATAAAAGCAAAAGTAATACCAAATCAAGAGTGAAGAGTAAATATGCTGTATTAAGGTGTATCAACTGGGATCAATCAGGTAACAGGAACCATACCACTGTTTGGCAGGGAGAATGTGCTATAAAGGGTTACTAGCCAGGTATTAGAGAACTGAAAAGGCACAAGAGGATAAAGAGGTTTCTTAAAGGCAGTAAACACGGGAAGCAGCAATTGCCTCTGGGGTTGCAGAACAAACCGAAGGAGTCGCTATTATTAGAGTTTAGAAGTTTAGAGGAGTGGCCCCAGGAAGGCAGGACTCAAACCTGAGAAGAGCGACTGCTGCTTGTATCTCTGAGGGAGAATGTTAAGTTGGCTCTGGAAGTCTAAAAAAAAAAAGCAAACTGGAATTGCTATTGCAACTGAAACCAACTAGTTGCTCCTTCCAGGTTAAAGAAGTCTTCCAAGATGTTGACAGAAAAGTAGAGACATAGGAAAGAACAAGATTCTTTTCCTTTCCCAGTCCTTTCTCCTAATGCCTGTTATTGGCAGAGCCCCGCTAGGAAAACAGAAATATGATTTTTGTGCCAGTTCCAGCACCAAGTTGAGAAGGATGAGTGAGAAGCTGAGAGATAAATGCTTCTGCATAAACAGCAGATGCAGCACAGGGCAGCAGCAAGAAAGTCGATGGAGGGAGATGTTCTTTTTGGGTGTGGGAGGAGATAAGGCTGAGGGATCGACAGGGACTGGTGATGGACAGCCCCGAATGTTGAGAAGCGATATTCAGATTTGAATTTCATGAGCTACTTACAGACTAGAAGGAAAGACAGGATTCTGAATCATGATTGCATTATAGTCATTCACTTGTGTTTTCTTAACAAAGCCATTCTTCTGTTTAGGTGAAGAGATGGCTAGATGAATGTTGGTTTTAAGGGGATGACTCTTTCTCAGGAGCTGCTGGAAGAAAGTTGTCACAAGTTAAGTGCTGAGGCGTGGGAGGAGGTCTTTGGTTAGCTGAGAGACATTGCTGTAATTCACAAGGTAGAATTTAATGTCACGCTCCCCTTATTCTGCACATTAGCATGTGCAGTTTTCTGTACTAGCCTATTGGCTTCCAAATAGAGAAATTGCATCACATTCACATTTGTCTATGCTGGGCACAGAAGATTGCCTGAAACATAGTAAGTCCTGAATAAATTTTAAGGAGCTCTACCTTTGTTTTGTAAATGATAAAGTTTCTGCATCAGAGTCCAGACTGTGTATCCAGGTAAGAATCAGCAAATGTGTATTTGTCATTGGTAACATAAATGGATTGGATACAATGCCATAGGCTATCAAAATGTGCTAAGTTTTGCAAACATATCTTCTATGTCAGCTTACTAGTGACTTTTTTCTATGTAACAATTCTCAAATCTCAGTAGTTTATGAAAGAAATAAGGTTTTATTTTTCCTTATTTTACAGGTCAGCGGCTGTGGGTTAATGGTGGTGGCTTTGCTTCATGCTTCAGCTCTGATCCAGGTTGGGGTTTAAATCTTGGTTTGCTCTACAGACTGTCTTAACTCTGGGATCAAAAATAAAACAGAAACTTTTCTATGGAGCAAACCCATACTCATGATGATGGGGAACAGCCAGACTGAGCTGAATTCAACCCCAAAATCACACTGAAATATGCATTGCAGAATGTGCTGTTTGCCAAAGCAAGTCATCTGGTCAATTCATAGAGTAGAAAAGTATATTCATGTCGACAGGATGGGAAGGAATTAATGTTTGTAACAAAGAATACGACCTGTCAGAGTCCTTGTGATGGTTAATTTGATATGCCAACTTGGCTAGGTAATGCTACTTGTGTGTTAGGTCAAACACTGATCTAGATGTTTCTGTGATGGTACTTGTAGGTGTGATTTATGTTTACAATCAGTTAACTCTATCTTTTAGAAAGTTAAATTTTTATTTTGTATTGGAGTATATAGTTGATTTACAACATTGCGGTAGTTTTGGGTATGGGCTTCCCTGGTGGCTCAGTGGTAAAGAATCTGCCTGCCAATACAGGAGCCACGGAAGACACAGGGTCGATATCTGGGTCAGGAAGATCCCCTGGAGAAAGAAATGGCACAGAAGAGCTTGGTAGGCTACAGTCCAGAGGGTCAAGTAGAGTCAGACACGACGGAGTACGCACGCGCGTTAGCTTCAGGCGCACAGCAAAGCGACTCAGTAAACTTTAAGTACAGGAGAGTCCTCTTGTCCCCTCCCTAATACGAGAGGGCTGCATCCAAGCATCCAGTCAATTGAAGGTCTTAAGAACAAAAATTGAAGTTTTCTCAGAGAGAGGGAATTTTGTCTCAGGACTTTAATGTAGAAATCCTGCCTAAGCTTCCAACCTGCCAGTCAGCCCTATGAACTTTGGACTTGCCAGACCCCACAATTGAGGGGTCAACTGACCTCATAAAACAAATGAGCCAATTCCTTTAAAGATGTTTATCTGTCCATCTATGTATGTGTGTATGTATATGTAAATAGGTGTGTCACGCTCTGGTAAGCCTGAAGTCTCAGAACAGGTCATCTGAACGCTTCAGGACCCCAGCCTGGAGTTCCACTGTGGGAAAGGAGGGGAGAAACTGCATCTCAGGCCCCTCCTACCAATCCAGTCTATTTCTTGAAGAAGCCAGAATGAGCTAGCCTGTCCACCCACATGCTGTGACATGGGAGTGGTCACTAGATGTTTGCAAGATGATTGTACTTTCCAGTGTCTAAATCCTGATTGTTTCACAGCCAAATGACAAAATGAAACGTTTTCCATATATCGATATATATATATAAAGGGAGAGGAAGCTATGTCTATTGGTGGCATTTCTCTGATGATCCCCGACTGACACACTTCCGTTGTTCTCACTGTGCTGTTTTTCGTTGTTGTTGTTTGTTACTCTGCCTGGTATAAAGCGGGAAGGGAAGTGTACAAGAATATATTTCTTGTACTAGGAGGCCTTGGGCTTCCCCTGTGGCCCAGTAGTAAAGAATCCGCCCGAGGTGCCAGAGCAACAGATTTGATCCCTGGGTCGGGAATATTCCCTGGATGGGGCATGGCAACCCACTCCAGTATTCTTGCCTGGAGAATCCCCATGGACAGAGAAGCCTGGCAGGCTATAGTCTGTAGGGTCACAAAGAATCGGACATGACTGAAGCAACTTAGCACGCACACACACACACACGCACTAGAAGGCCTTACTTTTATTTAGAGAGTGAAATTCTGGTTATTAATAGAGTTGAAGGTGGAAGAAATAGACCAGAACCTTAAGTGCTGAGTCGTGGTTGTGATAATTGCTGAGAGAAGGAGAGGATGCTGTGGGAGCCTGTTGTGAGAGAGCCTGACCCCCTCCCCACCACCTGGGAAGTAATGGTGAGCTGAGCTCTAAAGCTTAGGGGCTGGGGGAGCAGGAGGGATGCTTCAGGCAGACAGAATATATGTGAAGCACTTGGGGCAAGAATAAGGTGGACTTATTTGAGGACCTGAGAAAAGGCAGGTGAAGCTAGAGGTTTAAGAGTCAAAATGGAGGGGTGAGGGATGAGGCTGAGGGGTGGGCACGATCTTTGTCATGTTCTGTGGGCCCCGTGGAGACTGTGTCTGTTTTCTATGGCAACTGGAAAACCACTGCAGGGTGTAAGCAAAGGTGGGATGTTCTTGTGGAAGGAATGAAGGGTCATTTGAGTTACAGATATGATAACAACAATACAGGGAGACTGGAGTTTTTGATGATTCTATACAACCGTCTTAATTTTAGAGGCTTATTTATTTCCTGGTAGAATATGTGTATACACACACACACACACACACACACACACACACTTACATGTATTATATAATTATTTGTTGTTCTGGCCCATTTACTATAAATAGAAAGTCTTACGTGAGCAAAAATAGAGATCAAATTTATGATTTCTAAAAAATGAAAACAGTACCACTAATCACAAATAAGTATGAAATGTATTTATTATTAAATTTGTTAAAGAAATAATTTTAAATCATTAGTAAAGTGTAAGTAAAAGAAGTTTTTCCAAAGTAATGACACAGATTTTATTATTGAAAGTTAATAATACACATAAGGATTCCTAAAAAACTTCTCCAGAGATGCACATTATTATAAATATTACAAGCCATCAAAATATCTGCCCATTGTTCATAATGGATGGTTGAATCATATATAGTTATAGCTAATCAAAAACCATTACAAATGTATTTACTGTCTTCAAACACTTCCATATTTCATTACAAATGGCTGGTTGAACACTTCCACATCCATTACAGTATTATATTTCCATTCAATTTACTGGTAAGATTTCTTGAACAGCTACAGTATAATAGTAGC